AAATGCAACAATAACTTTGCGATGTACTCAAAATTACTGCATCTGCCTAAAAGTATGCTTCAAATTTTCAAATTTACTTTATTGCTGTAAACCTGTTCATCAAAAATACATTCCAAACATTTTTTTCACAGAATATTTACACTCCTCGTTAGTAAACAACACTCTGCAAAGCGCATTTGCAAAAGCTCCAAATATTTTTCACACCCCCTAAAAAGAAAACCACTAAATTACAGCCGCCGGTACAGTTCTACAATTTTAAATTGTACAAATAATATTTACTGGCAAACAAAACAGGAAAGCCATTTTTTCGCACAAATGCGACACCTGCAACTCAAAACTTTTTGTCACATTGAAAGCTTAAAAATCCCACAAAGCACCAATACATTGTTGCGATAAAAGCGAAAAGCTGTCAGCGTAGCCAAATTGTATTGAGCTGCTGTTAGTTGCGGTGTTGTCTGCTAAGTGTGAAAAAACAAAAATAAAATAAAAATAAAAGTAATTTTTATACCCAGCACAGGTTAGATTAAGTTTGTCGTGAAATTTGTGCTATCTAGTTGGAAAATGAAGTTCTTGTAAAGAAAACTTGTTTATCTGACGAAATATTCCCAAGAAATTAGGTGCGGGCTATTGCCTGAGGCATTAATGCAATCTCCAAAGAAATGATTGCGATCGGACTACCATACCATATAGCTGCCATATAAACTGAACATTGAAAACCAAGCTCTTGTAGGGAAAACTTTTTTATTCGCCGAGATATCTTCATGAAATCTGGTGTGGATTATTTTCTAAGGCAATGGTGTAATCTCCGTAAAATTTGTTCAAATCGGATTACTATAGCATATAGCTGCCATATAAACTGATCTATCAAAATTAAGTCCTTGTATAAAAAACTATTTTAATTGAAATGTAGTGACAGAATTTGGCATGCATGATTGTTCACGGCAACGCTAGTATCTGTGAAGAAATTGTTCAGATCGGCCTACTATAGCATATAGTTGACATACAAACTGAACGTTAAAAATCGAGTTCTTTTTTGATTTTTTGTTTTATTTTTCATTGTGAAGGGTATTATAGCTTCGTTACAACCGAGGTTAACGTTTTTTCTTGTTTTATTAAAAAAAAAAAATTGCAGAAAAAGACATGAACGTTTATTGGCAATCAAAAGTTTGCCATGGAGACAGGCAAAGTTGAGTTTGATGTATTTGCAACTTACTACACCACAACTACATGTGAATTTACTTAAAMGTACCGCAAATTAGTGTGTGTGTGTATATGTGTGACTTTGAGTGTATATGAGCGTAAGTTTGTATGTATGCGGCTGATATATGCGTATGTAATCATAGGTGCAAGATACAAATGTATGTGTGCGAGATTTACATTTATTTGCGCCTTTTACCATATATGCATGTATGTGCCTATCATAAGTGTGTATATGTGTATGTGTTGGCTTGCAACATTTGTTTATGCAATTTCGCTTGCCAGCTTGTTGTGGCCAACTGTCGTCACATTTTCTACATATATGTACATATGTGTGTTGTAAACAACTTTCTTTGTATGTGTGCGTGTGTAATTACCTACCTTGCTGCATTTAAAATTATGACTAAGTGCATGTTTGTCTGGAGAATATAAAGAAAACTTTGCTTTAATTGCTTTTGCGACTTCGCCGCTGCACGACGAAACTCATATAAACCGTTATCACTTACAAGCACAAGCCACCACTTACTACACACCCACACACACACACACGGACACAAGTATATGCTTTATGGAAATTTCAATATGGCGCGTGCATTTCCGTTACCCCCCGCCGTCTGCTCGTGTTGCAAACTTCAATACTTTGCTTTGCCAAAGTCAATGTAGTTAGTAGGAAAGCCAAAAATTAATTAAACTTTAACGCAGTTGCGGTAAAAAGCAGACGAAGACAAGACTTGCGGCTTGACAAGCGCAGCGAGGACACGGCTCAACTTCAAGGCACACACACATACATACATTCAAATATATATATGTAAATGATTTTGCAGGCAGCTAAGTTGAAATAAAAAGCGCAAAGCCGCATTAGCCAAACAAAAAACACAAAAAATAGACGAAAACCGTTACGTCGCTTGTAAAATATTAATCAACGAATGAAAAGTAAGATTTTGACTTGTCAGTGTTTCTGTGCTTTGAAAGCAGCGTGCTATGAAAGGGGGCGTACTTGTGTGTGCGGCAATCTTAGTAAAACGCCGTTGGCAATTGGCTTAGTTTCTTCTTTATGTATTTTAAGACTTTGTATAGTGGTTTTGCCCGATTTTTTTTCATATATTTACAAAATTGGCAGGAAAATCTTTTAAATGTTTGGAGCATAAAGCCGCTTGGCTGCTCAAAGTATTTGCTTTATAAGTACATGGAGATAAAATAGTACAAAATAGCTTGAACTTAAGCTGCTGTTCAAGTTATGCACTTACTTATATTTTGTTGCATACTTCACGGCTGATTTTGGAAGGTTAGAGTACTAACCAAAGCAGCTATTAATGCAATTTCGAAGCGTATATATCGTAATTGAAAATTTTGATTCACATTATTTGTTAACCTATGCCTTTAATGCTTTTTGTTGCATACAATTAGGCTGATTTTGAATTTTATATAGGCAACATCTGTAAATTTTGTTGCATATATTTGAGCTATTTTTTTTCAAGTTATTTGCAATTTCGAAGTCATCTTGATTTCAACTTCAAAATTTTTTTTAACTACATTAACTGTTAATCAATGCCTTTTCACGTATTTTGATGCATACATTCAGGCTGATTTTAATTTGTATGTTCATCTCTAGTCTATAAGCTGTAGTGAAATAAATGCAAATAAAAAACCAGGTTTTGTTCATGATAATTATTAAATTTTTGTACAAGCTATATGTTTATGCATATTTTGGTGTATACATTCAGGCTGATTTTGATTTGTATGTTCATCTCTGTGAACTAAGTTGTTTTTAAATGTGATTTCGAGCGCTATAATTAACATGAAAAATTTGTATTCTACATTATATGTAAATCAATGTTTTTAACGTATTTTGGTGCCTACATTAAGGCCGATTTTGATTTTTATGTTTATAAAGTAAGTAGTTTTTATATGCGATTTCAAGAACTATACATTAACTTGAAGAATTTTTAATCTATGTACATTGCTTGTTAAAATATGCCTTTAACGCATTGTGATGCATACCTTCAGGCTGATTATACCTTTTATGTTCATCACTATGAACGAAGTAGTTTCGAAATGCAGTTCTAAGTCAGCTACAATGAAATAAATGCCGTAAAGCTAGCTTTTATTCTTGATAATTATAAATATTTGTACAAGCTATGCACTTTTGCATATTTCGGTGCATACTTTTAGAAATCCTGTTTTAAATTATATGCGAGCAAATCAACCAAAAAGCTGCTTCTAAAGTGCATTCGATTACTTTAAACGCTTTGAGAATATTTTAATTGACTTTATTTGATGACCAAAGCACTTATGGCATTTTTGTAGCATGCATTTAGGCTGATTTTGCTTTTTCGGTGATTCGGTGTGCGTTAAGCATTTTTTCAAATGCAACGGATCGAAAAACACGTTAATAAACATTTTTTTATTTATATATTTTTTTGAATTTTATTGAATTATTTGGCAACGAAAAAATTTCATGGCGTTAATTTATTACTT